AAATGGCGAAGCTAAGGAGCTGGGGCCACCCATACCCACCCACACCCATAGCTGCAGCAAGTGCAGGTGGCTTTGCCACCACATATTTGCTTAGGGCAGGAATGGGGAACCTGTAGCCCTCCTGAGGATGTTGGACTGCAACTCCCATGAAGCCCAGTTGACATGGCCAATAGCTAGGGATGATGGGAGTTGTAGTCCCTGGTTTAGGGAAATATGTAGCTGATTCCTTATTAAAGACAAAACAAGGTACACAAGTATATGTCATAATAATACTCAAGGGTGTTTTTATGCTACATAATACTGGATAGAAACAACATTTGAAGTCAGTGTGGTGCTGTGATCAGAATGTTTTGTTTATTCATATACAGTGGTACCTCGGGTTAAGGACTTAATTCATTCTGGAGGTCCGTACTTAACCTGAAACTGTTCTTAACCTGAAGCGCCACTTTAGCTAATGGGGCCTCCTGCTGCCGCCGCACCTCCAGAGCACGATTTCTGTTCTCATCCTGAAGCAAAGTTCTTAACCTGAACCACTATTTCTGGGTTAGCGGAGTCTGTAACCTGAAGCGTATGTAACCTGAAGCATATGTAACCCGAGGTACCACTGCATTACATTTCTATCCTGCTTTTCCTCTAAGGGGCTTGAGGCAGCGTACATGGTTATGCCCATCCTCTCCTCCTTAAGTTTTATCCTTGCAAAAAAACCCTGTGAAGATAGTGCTTGGTCCAGGGTCACTTTGTGAGATACATTGCATTGGCTCCCCATGTTGTGTCTTGGTTTTGGGAGACGCAGGTTCAAACCTCCCCTTGGCCTTTTACTGTGTGACTTAGACAAGTCACTGTCTATTGGATTACCCTATTTTTAAAGGAGTACACTATGAGGTGAATGGAGGGTGAACTGCAAAGCACTGTTGTGTCTTTGAGCTACCATTATTTATCTTGCTAACTCTTCCTCGTGACTTTAGAACAACTTTGGCTTGATCAAAAGCAATTTTCCATTTGCAAAGAGTTTTGCAAACTCAGCACATTCTGGCATTGTGCCAGGAGGATATTAATTAATTGGATGTCTCAACTCCTAAAACTCATTTTTACTGAGGGAAATATGATTTGTGAACATAATCCTCCCCTACACCCCCCCCATTTGTACATTAGATATTTGCATGTTGGCTAATACATTGAGCACAACTATCATTTGTTTGAGAGGGGAAAAAATAAAAGTCAGAGGCTATAAAATAAAAAGCGATCTTTCCCTTCATTCCAGCTCTTTCAGACATTGGCAGCAAACCTTAGAATGCCAAAGACAACCTAAAAGGAAAATAATTTCACCATTAAGAAGTTTAAAGACTCCAAGTTCTTCTGCGAAGGGCTAATATATGAAACAGCATGCTTGCATGTTTTGCTTCTGTGCTGATAACACTTCCAGTTTTTTATCCTGTGTCTTGGAATGTGTCTGAAATTTTGAACTGGAGCTTATTCAAGTAACTTATTTTTGTGGTATGGTTGCTGTTCCCTCATATTTGGCTTCCATGATTGCCCTCCTCAGGCACTCTCCTCTCATTCACTCACTCACTCACTCACTCACTCACTCACAGGGCAGTTTACAGTATAAATCACATGTTAAACCAGCAGTCAATTTGGAGACAAGTGTGCAAAACTCTAACCACTCCACGTGTTGGAGGTTGAATTTCTGAAGCGAGAAAACATGTGCACTCAAGGAACTTCCCTGCAAAATTTAGAAACTTGGTCTTCCAACTTATTTATTTAATCAATTCATATACTGCCTTCCAAGAAAGAAAGAAAAAACCATTCCCAAACTGTGCTTGCCCCAGCTGTTGTGTTTTACATGCAGGTAGAATATCTTAAGTGTGCTAATTCATTAGTAACACCTGTAAGTCTATATCACGTGTCATCCAAATTTCCTCTCGCTCTCCAAGCTTCAGCGAAAGCCTGTATTCGCCCCATAGGACGCACACAGATTTCCCCTTCATTTTTGGAGGGGAAAAAGTGCGTCCTATAGGGCGAAAAATACGGTATTTATAAAAAAGTATTTCTATACCACTGTGTCATAAAAATATATCACAGCAGTTTACAACAGTATAAAACCATACAGTGAAAAACATGAAAAGTTAAAAACAAGTTAAAATGGAGGGGGGAAAAATACAAATCAGTAAGCCATTGTGGGGGATTACTCATAATCACCTGCATAGGCCTGCTGGAATAGAAAAATTTTCAGCAGGCATTCAACAGTTGACACTTGTTGTTGTTATGACATAAGGCTGGGGAGGGGAGGGGAAGGAAGATCAGTGAAATGTCCAGAATGCATCTCTAATGAATTTTTAATATATTATATATATTCACATTAACACTAAGTCAGGGTCAATTCTTGTGATGTTGTTAGATCATAGTTCTCATTATACCTGACCATTGGCTTTGCTGGGAACGATGATGATGATGATGATAATTTATACCCTGCCCATCTGGCTGGGTTTCCCCAGCCACTCTGGGTGGTTCCCAACAGAATATTATTAATAATAAAGTGATAAAACACCAAACATTAAAAACTTCCCTAAACAGGGCTGCCTTCAGATGTCTTCTAAAAGTCAGATAGTTGTTTATTTCCTTGACATCTGACAAGAGGGCGTTCCACAGACAGGTGCCACTACCTAGAAGGCTCTCTGCCTGGTTCCCTGTAACCTTACTTCTCGCAGTGAGAGAACCGCCAGAAGGTCCTCGATGCTGGACCTCAGTGTCCGGGCTAAATGATGGGAATGGAGACGCTCCTTCAGGTATACTGGAGTCAAACAACAGTGAGACGACGCATTGGCTACCCCTGCTCTGGGCCATAAAGTGTGTTAATGCACCACGCTGTTCAGAAGCTGTGAACAGCGTTTCTGCTCTGCATGAGCAAGTAAACAAACCATAAACAGTTTCTCTTAGTGTAACGTCTGAATCCAGGGCCCGTGGTCTATTCCATCCTTAACAAGCTGCGACCATGGATTCAACAGCAAGCCATGATTTAAGGCCACCCAGCGATCATATATTCGTTGGAGCAAAACAAAACCTGGTCTGAGGTTCAGCTGCCGTACTATGCTTCATGGCTTGTTGCCTTACTCATGTGATGGGAGAAGCAAAATGGGTATGTGTGCTACACAAGCAGCTGATCTTACCTGCCCCCCCTCACCTGACATCTCTATGATGCCAGATGTGTGACAGGTGACATTTGGGGACCTGGAAAGCCAAGGGGGAGAGGCCTGGCAGGCCATATCTGGCCTGCAAGCAGATCCCTCACCCCTCTATATAACATAAACAAGTTTGAATTCTGCTGGAGACTTAAAACCAACATTGATGTTAAATAGCAATACAAATTGGACTCCCTTGGGATGTTGTCGACTCGCCTTTCTTGGAGGTTTTTAAGCAGAGGTTGGATGGCCATTTGTCATGGATTCTTTAGTAGAGATTCTTGCCTTGCAAGGGGTTGGACTAGGTGATTCTCGGGGTCTCTTCCAGCTCTACAGTCCTGTGATTCTTTGAAATGAAGAGCATGCACTTTAGGAGCTATATTTCCTTTACAGCTAAGGCTGAAAATGATCCACGCAGGTACATAATTAAAGGTATGCTGAAATTTAGCTTCAAGGACAATATTGAGAAGCTGCTGTTTTTGGTTTTTTTAAAACTGTGCATTGACGGGCGAGTATCTGCCTGCATACGTCAGTGTGGGATGATTCAGTCGCTGAAGCATAAAAGAAGGGTTTTTGTTCTTCTGCCTTTAATTTTTGAAATGCTCCTGTTCTTGTGTGTGCTCCAGAGATAACCGAGGGGTGAGCTATTAATCTGTGATTTCTGAGCCAACTTGGAACAGCTACCTTAGCAGTAGTGAGTCAGCAAGAAATGGGAAGATAGGCAGAGCTGCAGTTCATACCTTCGTCAGAGTCTTGCATTTTATTTAGATCAAAAGAAACTCGCGCACACAAATAATTGCGCCCCGCCAAGCAATAAACCAAGGAAGAGAGAACACAGAACTCCTCAGCTGATGGGTTCTGTTGATGATGATCACAAGGCATTTAGGCAACTGCTGTGCTTGAGAGATGCAGGAGGTATTGCTAATATCAAATCCAGCCCAAGCTTAGGAAATAAACAGTATTCTGTTGAAAGCATGTGTGTCTCTTTTTCTTTAGGGAACTTCCCAGTTCTGGGTGCGCTGCTAACTTTCGTGTCCATTTTGTATTTGGCTTGATTATAAAGAAATCTAATGGAGCTGAATCTCTGCGCTGGGAAATGTTCTACCTGTTGGATTTTTGCCTGTTAGGTGGTTGTGTCCAGGCACAGGAGGGATAAAGAAAGAAATAGAAAATAAAAAAATGATCCAGTCTTAGAGCACAACAGTTTGGAACTGAAGGCAGAGCTGTGGAGGTTTATTTGAATATAGACTGCAGTTTTTGTTCACTGACAGCCTTGTTGCTTGAGACTTACAATAAACCAAATATATTAGTGCTGTTTTGAAAGGTCCTGTCTACCATCTTGATTCAAGAAGACATCCAAATTTTATTCAGAAATAGACTTTCTGCCTCCCTGCAGTCAGAATAGTCTGTATTATTTTGTCTTCATTTGTTTTTCAAACTTCATCTCAGTCTTCTTTGAAGCACACCTTTACATATACCCCCATTGTCATTTACCTCTTTTGCATTCAGTGTCTACTGATTCCCCATCCTGCTCTGTTTTGCCTGTGTAATACAGTAAAGCTTCAGATATCCCCACTATCAACAACCTGAAGCTCCCCTAGCCCCTTTAAGTAACTTAAATCCATTGATTTCAATGGGTCTACTATGAGAAGCACTAACATTGACGATTACCCAATATGAGCTCAGTGTAAAGTTTTTGGTCAATGGCACGCTGACGGCCATACAAGTGCAGCAATTGCTTCTTTCCATATCCAGCATGGAAGGAAAATGAGGAGCTTTGCTGATATGTACTTTCCTGAAACAGCCTTCTTCATTTTGCAGATGGCCTCTATTCCAGCCGGAGTGTTCACGATGGGAACTGATGAGCCAGCTATACAACAAGATGGAGAGTCACCCGCCAGGAGAGTCCACATTGACCATTTCTTCATGGATCGCTATGAAGTCAGCAATGCAGAATTTGAGAAGTTTGTGAATGCCACTGGCTACCTCACAGAGGTAGGGAATAGAAATGTTTGGGGTATTTTTTCACAGCAACTTTGCAGGAAAACAGTAACTTACAAAGCGATCGTATGTGATGGATTAAGATAAAATAAAATAAATAATATAATACTGGCAACTTCCCACTTAAGAGGGGGTTACGTTCCGGGCCCCTGTGCACATAAGCAAAATGTGTGGAAGTGGGGAGCCTCGTCAGAGCAGGGAACAAGGGCAATTTAAGAGGCATCAGAAATAACCTTTTCTTTTATACTGTACCTTTGCCTCTCGATCACCAGAAAGGGTAGGGAACCGCCCTTCTGATCCTGCTGCAATACAGTTTCCTGCCCAACAGCTGTTGAGCGGGGTAGCGCTGCAGCAGTGAGAAGTCCCGCGCGCCATTTTGGGAGCCCATAGGTTCTTTTTAAAAAGCCTTTCAAATATTTATTTCTGGACTTTTGGCTCACTGACGTTCTCTTCAGGCTCTGAGGAGAGACTCCTCATGAGCCTTGAGGACTTTCCAGCTCTTTCTCGCCATTTCCAGGATTGCTTGCTTGACTGGCTTATTTTCCGGCGCCACAAGTATACGTGATAGCCGCTGACTTCTGGTCCTGCCCTGAGAAGATGCACCCTACTTAATAATAATACAATATATAAAATGTTTTTGCATAGTGAACCATTTCCCATGGATTTGCTGGTCTTCAAATCCCACCTTAATGGCAAGTTCATTAGATGCTTCTGATCAGGCTGCTTTCTTTTAGCTTCTCCCCTACTTAATAATATCTCTGATATGAACATGACTGTATCCCTCAAGTTTCATTTCAGCTTTTAAAAATAAACTTCTAAATGATAATAATAATTGAATTTGAAGCATTATAAAATAGCATTCCCAATCAATGGAAGTAGAAATGTTTGCTGCAGCTGCCATCTGCTCTTCTAATCAGAACCAACAGTTTATTATTATTATTATTATTAATTACTACTACTATTATTTCCTATTAATTCTATACCGACCTTCAGTTAAGGATCACAGGGTAGTTTACAACAGAAAAACACAAAAATGCTCACCATAGTAATAAATAAAAACAATACCCTCCCTCCACACAGTTTAAAAGGCCATAGATTGTTTAATTAGCCAAAGGCCTAAGAGAAGAGGAATGTTTTTGCCTGGTACAAAAGTGCCAGGGCCAAGTCTCCCTGGGGAGAGTGTTCGAGAAGCAGGAAGCCACAGCAAAAAAGGCCCTTTCTCATGTTGCCAGCCTTCAGACCTCTTGTGGAGGAGACATACAAAGAAGGGCCTCAGATGATGATCTCGGGGTCTAAGTCAGTTTATATCTTAACAATGGCTTTAGGAAGTTCCTGGGTATATCAGCACCAACTTCTGTGGTGTTAAGAACCATTTATAGATATGTTTCAAGGTCAGCTCCCTTCTTTTGGCTGAGATGGATTTAAAGGGAGGTTTAGACCACAGTTTAGTTCACTGGGTAGGGTTTATTTCGTAGTCTATGAGGGAGAAAAATAGCTTTAGGAACGATCATGACCTTGAGCAGAGCGATCTTGTCATCTCCCTGTGAGTCTGCCGCATGGCGTATTACTTCCTTTAACAACAAAATCTGAATTGCTGTTAGGGAGGATTAAGTAAAGGCCATTGTGCGCTTAATTGTCTGATTTGATGCTGTCTTCTTTTGGCATTTTGGAAATGAAAACACTGGTGCTGCAAGCATGCAAATCCAATTGACTTAGAGTTGCCTCTTCTTCCCTCCCCCCTTTCTTCTTCTCAGGCAGAAAGATTTGGAGATTCCTTTGTATTTGAAGGTGTGTTGAGTGAACAAGTGAAGACTGGAATTCATCAAGCTGTGAGTCACATACCTTCCTAGCTATTGTGTTCTGGCCTGATAATTCAAGGCTGTGAACATTTTATAGTAATAATACTAATAAGTCTGTTGTAATCAAAGTATGCGGAGACCTGCAAAGATGTGTTAGATTTCAGTACAGGAAACATTATCATAATTATTTTCAAGGATTATTAGTTCATGTTAATTTTGTCCATTGTATTCCTCAAACGCCTTGGGAGAAGAGCAAATACAAGTACAAAGGAATAAGTATATCAGAAGTAAATGAGGAGGTGGTGGCTGGGTTTTCTCTCCTTTCTAGCTCAGCCTACACTCGAGTAGGACCCTGGCAGAGACACATGCCCGACTGGCATTTTCTCTCCCTTCCGGTCGATTGTTTGGGAGCTTCAAAAGCTTTCTTTAGCCTGAACATCACAGCGATGCCAACAGACACCGGCACACTTAGGGATCCGCAGAGTGTTCGCAGTTTGCGTAACAGACCTCAGCAACTCAGCATTTTGGCTAATCTACTTTATTTACATATAAACACACACGGAACACTGCAACATGGCTCCCTCTCTCTCTAGCATCAGACAGCAAAGAGAAAAAGAACAAAGGGCAATAGTCCCACTTCACAGAACACAGTAACACAAACATCCTGTCTCCATCACTTCCCACTCTGTGGAGTCAAAACATACACTGTCATGTGATAGACAACAATCCCATACAATCATGGAGCAGGAATTCTAACAGTGGCTGGGTTTTCTCTCCTTTCTAGGGGTTGATGCAGTGACCCATGCCAACAGAGCTGTGCCTTTCCTTGTAAGCAGTAATATGAATCATAGAATTGTAGAGTTGGAAGGGATTCCAAGGGTCATCTAGTCCAACCCCCTGTGATGTAATTGTTGTCATCTCTGTCCATCTGTCTTTCACAGGCTCTGAAGATGCCTGCAAATTAGTTGGTTGACAGCTACAAGGTGCTTTTGGGGAGCTCCTAGAAAGGAAATGTAGCTCACTGGTAGAGCATCAGCTTTGCGTGCAAAATTATTGATCATTTTACTCATAGAAATTACTCAAAGTGATCTACAAACACAATAGAAATACTGAAACCAATTAGAAAAGACACAATGAATAATAACTTTTTAAAAAAGAAAACCAGCTATATAAATGAGGTCTAAAAGAGGCTTCAAATACTTAAAAACACTTAAAGTTAAGGGCCAAAAACCCAGGTAAAAAAGAATATTTTTTTTGCTTGGTGCCTAAAGATGGTGCCAGGGAGAACATTCCAGAAGTAAGGAGCTGCCATTGAAAGGGCACTTTTTTTTTGTAGCCAGCCTCCAGACCTCCCATGAAGGAGGCTTATGGAAAAGGGCCTCAGATGACGATTGCAGGGTCTGGATCTGCTCGTGTGGGGAAAGATGGCTCTTGGTATACTGAGCTGCACAATGCTGTAGCAGTCGGTGTGGCGGAGCCACCCTCCTGACAACAGCATCGCTGTAGGCTGTCCTGGGGCAGTGGTGAAGTTGGGGTTGCATTGGACTGACTCCACTGAAGTCTATATGCCTCCTCCACGTTGCTGCTGCCTCTTCCCAACGCTTTCTGGGTAATCCACAGCGACATCAGTGAACCCAGCTGTTGCTACTATCAGGAAGCCAACTTCCAATCATAGAATCATAGAGTTGGAATGGACCCAGAGGGTCATCTTAGTCCAACCCCCTGCAATGCAGGAATCTCAACACATGGACCCTCCCCTATCCAGTTTGAAACTATACCAGACACTGCTTATCTTTGCAAATGCGCTAGCAGTGTTAATTGCTGCACCGCTAGATAGCCCATGCACTCACACATCCTTATAGGCTAGCATCTACAAATGTGTGATGTGGGAATGGGCTGTGAAACTGAAAACTAAGGACGCCATTCGACTAAATTGTTGCAAGGAATAGAACTTTTTTTTAAAAAAAAGGTAAAGGACCCCTGACAGTTATGTCTAGTCGCGAACTACTCTGGGGTTGCAGCGCTCATCTCGCTTTACAGGCCGAGGGAGCTGACGTTTGTCCGCTCCGCAGACAGTTTTTCCCGGTCATGTGGCCAGCATGACTAAGCTGCTTCTGGCGAAACCAGAGCAGCGCACGGAAACACCATTTACCTTCCCACCAGAGCAGTACCTATTTATCTACTTGCACTTTGATGTGCTTTCAAACTGCTAGGTTGGCAGGAGCAGGGACCTAGCAACAGGAGCTCACCCTATCGCGGGGATTCGAACTGCCAACCTTCCGATCGGCAAGCCCTAGGCTCAGTGGTTTAGACCACAGCGCCACCTGCGTCCCGAGGAATAGAACTAGCGTGATGCAGTTTCCCCAACCCCATGTGAAGCCACTGCTGCTCACAAATCACCTCCAGAGGGTTGTAGGAACTCCCAGAGCAGACTGGGGGGGGGGGGGGAGAGATTGCTCCGTTGCGCAAGGAGAAATCCCTGCACTGCTGAATGAGCTGTTTAATGCTACCACCTCAGTTGTGGACTGCCTTTCACTGGAGGTTTTTAAACAGAGGTTGGATGGCCATCCACCTGTCATTCTTTAGCTGTGATTCCTGCATTGCAGGGGGTTGGACTAGATGGCCCTTGGGGTCCCTTCCAGCTCTACATTTCTATGAATAAAACCCTAAAATTCAAGGTGGTGGTGATTATACCTGTATAACAAAAACAAAACCTTGCTAGGTGACTTGAAGGTTTACAGAGCAGATAAGCTGTTCAGAGTCAGGATAAGTGTCTTGTTGTCCCTGTGTTTTGCTTCTGCTTTTCACCTGAGAAATACAGTTTGCCGAGAGGGGCAAGAACACATTAATTTTCCCTTAAACACATGTAGGGGGCCTCTTGTGGGCTTTCAGTTGCATTTTGGCTGGCTGTTCGGGGAGAGCGCCAGGTGACTTAGTGTTTTTGTACCTTAATCAGTTTAGCTTTCGCAGAAGCGATTCATCTTACCATGCTCCCACTGTGCTCTCAAAGGAAAATATTATGCATTGGATAAATAATAGCACACACTGGAGCACATTGTGTGCAGAGCTTCTAGGTGCAATTAGACCTCGCCGGGTTTATTCTTTGTTGTTGAAGAAAGTGGAAGCTGTGAAGAAAAGGGGAGAGAGGAAACTTAACAAATCTGTTAAGCCACAGTTTAAGAAACCAACCGAGTGTTGACTCTGACCCGATACATGTGGCAAAACAAAACTCCCTCACCTCCCTCAACTCTTTGGGGAAATGGGCCCTGCTTCTGCTGTTGACGAACTTTGAGGTGATGTGCTTGCTGCTTGTGGGGCAAGATAGATGGCCTATTTTAAATTCAGCTAGAAGGATCTTGTTTAGCAGCCTCCATGGTTTTGTTGTTGTTGTTGTTTTTGCATCCTTTGAAGATGAAGGATTCTGATAAATGCTGAATGGCAAAGGATTCTGTGATTGCCAGACTCTGCTCCTGTTTGTGGGATGGAGGGGAATTGGGCAAGTCTGACAGACATATGGTAAAGCTGGGAAGTGTGTGTGTGTTCCAGGAATGCTTAGTTTTAAGTGTCAAGCTCTGGTTTTCAGAAGCCTGAAGAGGCGTCACTGCTTCCAAATGGGGCTCTGGAGCTTAAACCTGTTGGGAGTTCAAGCTCAGTTATTTCCCATCACCCCTGGTCATTGGACATGCTTTCTGAGGCTGATGGGAGTTGTAGTTCAGCAACCTCTGGCAGGTCAAAGGGTCCCTACGCCTGCAGTACAACATGCTGACTCTCAGCATCACACAGGCACATAATAGGGGAGGGCTGCATACACTCAAGGTTATGGATTTGTATCTAGAGCACAATTTTAGTTTTTCAAAATGGCATGGCCTGTTGAACCCAAAACTGATTATTGCTACAAAGGTCAGCATTTCAAGGCCTGCTGTTTTGTAGTGGCTGGGCAGGGGTGATAGTGACATTTGCCTTTTGGCAACAAAATGATCCCCTCAAAGGCAGGCAGGCAGGCAGGCAGGCAGGCAGGCAGGGAATGCATGTCTCTCTAGAAATATTTGCCCTGCCATATTGTTTTTCCCCTCAAGGAATTGTCAATTTTGGCAGGGAAGTAGAAATGCTGTAATTAACGCCCCCCCCTCCCGCATTTGTTTGCATGCCTTAAAAAACAAACACATGTTAAATACCAGCACAAAACCCTGCAATAAACATTGGGAGATTGTCCATCTCTCCCTTAGAGAGCTATTCAGGAAACAACCATTTTAATATTCTGTTTGCTAATCTGTGCCTCCACATTTTACTGTACTACCCTGAGTCAAATGGCAGAATGCCTTTTTTTTTTTTAAAAGCAGCTATTCTGTATGTCACGGTCCTTGGCCTAACTCAACAAGCATTGTCCCTAATGCTTGCAATTGGAAGTGAGTTGGAACTGGCTCATGGCCCAAAGTGTTAAAACGCTGTTGCTTCTTTCCAGCGATTTCCCCTATTTGGTTAGAGTAACTTTTAGAGGACTGTCCTTTGCCTTGTTTTTCAATATGTATTATTAGGACATCCTGGCATGCAGAACATCATCTGGGTAGGCATGGAAAAATGATATTATTCTGATGACTTTGGCCAGCAGCCTAGTGATGCAGGGACTTGCTTTTCTTGTGGTTTGGCATTCTTAACCTGTTATTTAACTGTTCACCCCAAAGTGTTTCCCTTTTCAAGTATGTAGGCTGGAATGGAGAATACAAAAGCAACATCTGGAGGAATATTTGCTGCTTGTTGTCTTTTTTTTTAAAAAAAATATCCTTACATTTAAAGCATTAAATACAATGCAGTTTTGTTGCTAGTTTTCTAAACTTTGAGCGCTCAGTTGTATGTAATTTAATACTGTGCGTGCACCCCCCTCCCTTGGGTATAAATTGGATGGTGCTGGCAAGGCCAGGGCTGAGGAATTCATACAATTGACATTCAGGCTTTATGATCACAGTCATTGACGCCATCTAAGGAACTAACAAGGGTCATACCTAAAAATATTGATTTGCACAGGCGTTAGG